TATTGACTCCTCAAATGGCACCATGAGCCCCAGTTGTGAACAAGCCTCCACCTGCTCAGCCCCAGAGGGTGTTTCTGGAACAGAGAGGGCAGGAGAGACTTAAAGCCAGATATAACAAAGAGAGATAGTATCCATCATCATCAGGCCTGCAAATGCCTGTTAATTCATGTACATTCAACAAACATGTATGAATCATTAGGCATGCATGTGTCTATGTGTATGTGAAATATATGTATGAAATTACCATCAAACCCATTATGCAGGAGGGGCAATTAAGGCAGAGTGGTGCAATCACTTGTCTAAAGTTGTACAGTTGGTTAATGGTGGTGCTGGGATCTCAGTCCAGATTTGTTAGAGTAAAAGGTACCATCTTCCTACTGTGTTGCATAAAACACAAGTATGGAACACCTATTATGTGCTAGCACTTGGGACACATGAAGTTCCCAGTGGAGTGGGGGAACAGCAGGGTCCAGGGCTGTCAGTAGGACACTGGTGGGGAATGGAGGAGAGAATGCTGTGGAGGAAGGAGGTTCCCATGGACACTGGTTAAAGCTGCCTGCACATGTGATCATACCAGCCTACCTACTTCTAGTGGGGTGTGTACTGTGTTTAGCATCTGTGTGCATGCTCAGTGGGGCCCATGAAGTCAGTGGGCTGTAGTTTCATGGGCTGACTCTTACACACCTGGGGCATGGAGACTCTGGGCCAGCACAGCCGTGTCTTCTGCGAGTTCACAGCCATCACAGTGGGAGAGAGCATGAACCACCAAGTCGCTGGCCTTTCCGAGGTACTGTGGGAACAGAGGAAGCAGTGCCTGCACCATGCTGCCTATACAGGCATCACAGAGAAGACTATTGATCAATTGATTATGCCTGGAGAAATTGCTCAGGTAGAAAATGAACTCTGGTAATTATTGCAGCCAAATTCCAAGAGGTATTTCCCAAAGGACGACCAGATTTGCCCAGAGCTGCTCACAGTGCCCAATGCCTTCTTTGAGAGAAGGTCTTTAATTTCCACGCTAATGTAGAAATGAGCCAGACACTGACCTCCTTCATCTTACCTCTTCAATGCAAACACAGAGCTTTGATATGCAGTAGGCATGCAGTAGCTCATCCACATAAGGCCTCGGGTTGAGACCAATTCCTTAAACCAGCTCCACTGCATTTTCAGTGGAACACCCACCATGAATGTCTGTTGGTCATGGCTTGGGACTGAGGAAAGCACTTGGGAGAAAACAGTTGTCATAGACATGCAGTCTTCAAAGCGTGGAGAGAGGAGGTGAGGAAGGCAAGGCAGTGGGCAGGGATGCTCACCTATTGTCTGCAGACGTGGTGCCAGGTGTTGTGTTGAATGTTTTGCAAGGTTTTCCAGTGAGGGAGCAGCACTAATACATACACACACACTCACACACACATACTCACAAAACTGCTCTGCCATCCGTGTGGACTACCAATCACTAAGCTACTGGGAGAAGCCCTGTTCACTTCTGGCCATCATAAGATTGGCCATGGCCAAGCTGAAGTTGGTACACTGAGTTGCTCCCAAAATTTTTAACCCTTGAGGTGCTGGAATGTACTGTAATCTGGGCAGACTTTGTCACCTGGGCCCCACCGCTGAAACCATTCTCTCAGCTTCTGCAGGTACCATCCTCCCTCCAGAGGCCTTGACATCAGCCCAGATCACCTGGACATTGACCTCTCACATCCCACCCTCCTCCATCACTCTCTTTGCCAGGCCCCTTCTTTCTTCTGCTTCCCCCCTTCATTGTATTACGTGAATGCTCCCATGCTTATGAGAGATGAGTAGATATTAGGAAGAAGGAGCAGAAGGGGAAATTGAAATAAATAAGAACTGACCAAAAATCCCAGTTAAGGATAGATATCTCATTTAGTCATCAGCTCTTTGATTCTATCCTGATGGGCATTGTTTTATCTATTTTGCAGATAAAGAAACTGAAGCAAGGAGACAAGAATTGGTTAGTGGCATTTTCCGATCTACAGTTGTGTTCTAACCAATTGCCTCCCTTTGCATTAGATTTACAGAGTTTTGATCTCCCATCTGCATTGGGCGAGTGGCAGGTCCAGCAAGGGGGAATGCGGTGTAGAATACTGAAGCTTTTCAGAGAGCACAGACCTGGGTGTCCCAGCGGTGGCAGTCTGGGACAATGCAGGACACGCTCCACTTGGAGGCCATAACTCATGGGCTGATTTAGACAGTGGAAAGCATTTCCCTGAGACAAGCAATGCATTTTCAAAATGAATTGGCATCTTGCTGTCTATTCTGTATGGCATTTTATAACTATCTATCTTTGATAACAGAATGCTACAATTAAGGTGAAATCCACATATGCAAACCTAAAAATGTTTTGGCATTTCCCATTCATCTTAGAACATTCTAGCCCAAAGCAGATGACTGCCCACCCCCATCCAAACACACACACACACACACACACACACACACACACGACACACAGCATGTACATTTAGTCAGAGAGGCATGGATTAATCCCATCTGACTTAGCTTCCTCTCTTTTGATTCTATCCTGTGATTCTCTCTCTATTCACTTTATTTGTTCCCTAGAAATGATTTTGTTCTCTGAGTTAAGGCATAGCAGGTAAAAACTGGACTTGGAGAAGACCAAAGCCTTAGTCCTAATACACCATTTAGTAATGTAGTAGTTGTGTGATCAGACCAAAAATGATCTCATGTTTTGAAGTTGGACAGATTATAAATCCATGAGTCTGAGATTCACCAGCTGTGTGATCTCAGGCAAATTACTTAACCACTCAGAAAGCCTTGCATGATTACTGTGAAGATTAGACTTAATTTTTTTTTAAGTCATGTAACGGGGAAGGTACAGGGCTGGTACTGTATACATCTTGCTTCCATTTTCCATGTTAGTCACTGGCTCTCTGACTCAAGATTCTCTTCATAATAATGATATTTATTTCACAAGGTTATTTTGAGGATTAGATAAGAAACTAAACCTGAAAGTATCATGAAATAGTAAACTATTTTTAATTGACTCATTTGCTAATTCACTCAATCAATACATATTTCTTATTAAAGATTCAGTACAAAGTGAGATGGGTGTTTATGAAGAAGAACCAGACACAGAATTTACCCTCAATAAACTTTCATTCTCAAGATATACCCTGCTTCCTTAGAAAAGTCCAATATGAGGCAAAAATGAGAAGTGCTCATCCTGTGTTTATAAGGTTCAAGGTAACAAAGAGACACCTCCCAGAAGGAGCCATCAGTCAAGGATTCATGATGGACCTGCTATTTGAGAAGATACCCGATAGAAGGGTAAGAGATGATGGGTAAAGGGATTTCTGGTGCAGAGCCCAGCAAGCGTAGTTACTGCAGTGAGAAAATGTGAGGAAGGTAAGGGAACCTGGTGTGTAAGTGAGGGATAATCAGAGGGTTGTGATCCATAAGGTTACACAGATGTGTTGGACCCTTTTATGGAGGAATTGGGACTTCTAATTTTATAGACAATGGGGAGCCACTGAAGGTTGCTGGGCAGGAGCAGGATGTTGTCAGAGGCAGATTTCTTGAATATGAATTCAGCAATAATTCAGGGAGGTTTGGAATAAGGAGAAACAGTCCACTAGGAGTCTCTTACAATAGTTTCAGAGAAAGTTGAGGCTCTGAAAAGGATCAAAGGCTGTGAGAATGAAGGAGAGAAGCTTGGAGGGAAGATATTACACAAGGAATGTAATAGAATTTAAGTGATCATGTTGAGGAGTGAAGGATGAGACAGGTGAGTAGAGGTTAAGGGGAGTCCTGGAGGCTGCTGAGGTCTTGGGTGAAGAGAAAGGCAGCTTGGAACTCTTGAGAAGGAGCTCCGTGAAAAAGGAAGGCAATAGAGCCTATGTGGAAGAAGAAGAAAATTAATTCACCAGAACTCCAACGGCCAAGGGAAAGAAGACTAGATGGTTTGTGAGGCAGCATTTCCCAACCTCAGCACTACTGACATTTTGAGGCAGATAATTCTTTGTGGTGGAGGCTCCCCTGTGCATCATGGAAAGTTTAGCAGCATCCCTGTCTCTATCCACTAGATGCCAGTAGCAGAACCTTCAAAGTCGTGACAACCATAAATGTCTCTAGTTACTGCCAAATGTCTCCTGAGGGGCAGAATCACTCCAGTTGAGACCTCTGTTCTAGGGAGCAGTCTGCTCCACATGAGAAAAGCAATAGAACTGGTGGAGGAAAACCTGAGGTGGGGGTGTCTGAGGACGTATCTCAGAAACTTGGATTGTGGATGAGATAGGGAGGGAGGGAGATGGCTGGGGAGTTGGTGGGAAAAGTAGGTTCCATCCCCACTACCATCCTGAGCTACCCTAAGAGTATCCAGATATAACACCCCTCATGCCACCACATCTGCAGTAAAATCATTATGAAATGCCAATCATGACTGGAAGAGTCAGAGAGTGTGTGTAGGTATGGTCTCATCTGTCGACATGTATAGCTATTCCTATAATTCTAGAGAATGCTTCTGGAGATATCAACTGAAGGCATCTTGTCCCCTCAAGATACCAATATGCTGGATCTTAACGGCATCCAATGTCTGGGTAAAAAGTGGAACGTTCATTGAGTTACCTAAATTTCTCAGACTCCAGATGTCTGGCAATACGTTGTAAAACCTCCATGCGACTGTTAGCATTGTCTGTTTTGCTGGCTGTTTATGGCTGAGCTGATATACCAGTATTAGCCTCATTTCTGTCTTACAAAACAAATTGACCTTACAAGTTCCAAGAGCCACTAAAAATGATCATGCATTCTGGAACTGTATCTTAATTTGACTGATGCCTCTTTCTGAAAATAAAATCCTTTTGCTATGCTGGTATTGGTTAAATAAATATCTTATAGGTATTATTTTTCAAAATAAAGGTCTGAAGGTCAGTGGCCTTTGGTGTCTGGGTTTTTAGGGTGTTTGGCTAATCAATACCCTAGTAACTAATTAACCACATCTGAATGAGAATCAAGGGAGTTCTGTTAGTTTCAAACATTAGATCTTATGGGTCCCGGCCTGTAGACATCTTTTTACTCCAACTCCCTGAATAGATCCCTTAATTCCTTCTAGGTGATATAGGCTGGTGGATTCTGGTTGAGATGTTTGCTATTGCTTTCTTCATCTTGTCTTTGATGACTTGTCTGCCTGGGATAACCATACAGGAGAAGGCACACTGGTGAGTCAGCCATATGTCTCTACAGAATTTGCACAGAGGGTTCACCTAGTGGGGAACTGAGACACTTTCATGTTTGTAGCAGGCTGTTTTAGGTTGGAATGTGACCTTTTTTTCCTGCTATTCCTAGTACAGTGAAGGACTAGAGGACAATGAAAAGAGTGTGTATGTGTGTGCAAATCACAGTTGCAATACTGAAGAGCTGACTAATCTGAAATACATCACTTCATTTATTTGAGCTTCAGTTGTCCTACCTCTAAGATGAGAATAATAATGTCTCTTCTATAAGAGTTAATGAACATGCAGTAAGATCCTGGATATACAATAGCCTTCGCTCAATAAACAATAGTTCTCTTGAGTAATGTTGGACAGTTAACATCTACTCATCTGTTTGTGAATCATAAGAATATCTGTCTCATAGTGTTTGGGGGAGAATAAAATTAGATAATGTATATAACATCATTTAGGAAAGGTGAGACACTGTAGAGATACTGGGTCATTTAATAGAAACAAGTTTACCTTTTGCTGTGGGATAATGAATGGAAATGATATTTTCATATGTACATTGCCTTTTGCTCAGTCCATTTCCTTGACATTTTTAACCTGGTCTCATATTTTTTTAAATATCTTCACATTAAGTATTTTGTGGTGCTTAAACAGCTCCTATGTCACCTTTGGGACAGTTTTGAAGCTGTTCCTATTCTCCCAAATATTAAAGATTGTAATTAGAGTTATTTTCTTCAAATTCTTGTTGGATGATTCAATTTTAAATCATTGCTCCTATTAAATGCTAGAACAAGAGAGATTTTCTTTAAGTAACAGTTCAGAAGGGGGGAAGATATTTTTTATAAGCAGTTAATTTGCAACTTGTATTTAAAGCAAATATGATTTTGAACAAAATCAGAAAATTCATCTCTAATAATTAGAAGATAAAGGCGAGGGAACTGTGGAAAAGGAAATCTCTGCTGAGATACTCTTAATTATAAAAGCTTATCATTGTAATCCTTTTTGAAAATGAACAAAGAACCCTGATGTTTGATGAACTTATCAAATAAGACAGACCAGTGAAGAAGCAAATTTGAAGTCAAGGCAAAAGAGAGCCAATTAAATACTTTACAAAGTGCTGAAGTAGGAAAGCATGAGGTCTCTGTGTCTAATGCCAGTGGGTCTGACCCTGGCTTTGGAAACAGGAAACTATGTGGTGAATAACTATAGGTTCAAATTCTGGCACTAGCATTTTGCATTTGTGTGACTTCAGGCAAGTTACTTAACTTTTCTGAGTAAAATGTGGGAGGAAAGTAAGAGGAAGAATTACTAGTAAACACATGAAAAGTACATGGTATGATGCCTGGTTCTTAGTGTGCGTCCAGTGAGAGCTGTGGCCAGTGGTGTTGTGTGATTGTTATGGTCATTTTGGGGGATTTACATTCTTTCTGATGGTTGACAAAAATTGTGCCAGTTGGCGTGGATCTTTGAGCTTGGTCAGTGATTTCAAGAATTTAACAATGGCACTCCTTCTCCCCCGACCTCCAAATAAAATCTTACATCATCACTGCTGTTTTAAAATGTCTTTCTCAAAAAAAACCAACAAAAAACAAACTCATTTTTCTATTAAGACTTTATAATAAGCAAAATGATAAACATGAGTTAATAAAAATAAAGTATCATTAAAATGCAGAGGTAGATCATATATTTTCAATGTTAAGGTTCATATAAGATTTTATTAAATACTAGTGGCCTGGTGCATGAAATTCATGCACGTTAAAAGGGAATTAATTAAAGGAAATATTTTAATATTGCTATTTGCCCTTTCTCTATAATAGAAGTGTCAGAGATGAAAGAAAATTAGTAAAATGTATATGAATATCTCCCTCCTGTCATAGTCTGGGACATGCTGCGAGACCCAGAGTCAAGTCCCTGCCCACCCACACGTGCCTCGAAATCACACAAGACCCAGATCTGGCCGGTCCCACCCCCGTCAAGCCCAGCAAGCTTGACAGGGGACACAAGCCTCTGGTCCCTTGTCAAGCCCTGCCTCCTGCTGATCAGTCATTAAGTGTGAAGGTGTGATGACCATTTGCATATTAGCCTTTTATTATTATGATTTCAGGTATACTAAGTACCATGTGATGAACAAAACAGATAATGTCCCTACCCTCAAGGAATTCACAGTGCAGTGATAGGCAATAAACATGTACACAAAACATTTCAGTAGAATGCATGATAAATACCATGAAGGAAAGAATAGGCCCTTTGTTAGAGGATATTTGAAGATAGGCTGGTTGGGGAGCAGTTCTCTGTAGGGGCGACATTTAAGCTGGGACATGAAGGAGAAACAACGTAAGGAGCAGGGGAGAATGGAGAGGTCCGCATGTGTGAAGGCCCAACTGTGGGAAGTGGCCAGTCATGTTGGTGGACCTGAAGGATGGAAGGAACACAGAGCAGGGGATTGTGCTGTGAGAGGATTGTGTCATGAGAGGATGTCTAAAAGTATCACAGAGGACCTAGGGCACCATGATGAGGAATTTGAGTTATAGTATATGTATAGTGAAAAAAAAAAAACCACAAAGAAACAAACAAACAAAAAACGATACTGAATGGTCTTATAAAAGATGGCTATTATCTGATTTCTAGTTAAAAAACCATCCTTGCTCTAACTGGTTTGGCTCAGTGGATAGAGTGTTGGCCTGTGGACTGAAGGGTCCCAGGTTCGATTCCAATCAAGGGCATGTACCTTGGTTGCGGGCACATCCCCAATAGGGGGTGTGCAGGAGGCAGCTAATCGATGTTTCTCTCTCATCAATGTTTCTAACTCGCTATCCCTCTCTCTTCCTCTGTAAAAAAAAATCAATAATAACCCCCACCCCCACCCCAAAAACAAAACAAAACAAACCACATCCTTGTGACTGTGCAAAGAAGGGATAGGAGAAAGGTGAAGTGGAAGGTGTCATTGGAGGCCGCAGTAGCGATATGGGTGAGAGATACCAGTGCCTTAAATTAGGACGGGGGCGGGGGGGCATACAGGTAGGTGGGAGGGAAGATACTTGTGATAACATTCTGAAAGTAATATTGACAGACATTTCCCAAGGACTGGCTGTGGGGGCTAGGGGGGAGGAAGGAATGAAAGCGATGGCAGGTAACTGGCTTGAGCAATGGTGTGTTATGGTGGCTCCACTTACTGATGTAAGTAAAACCGAGACAGAAGCTGGTTAAAAGGAGAAAATTAAGAGTTTATATTTGGAGACTTTACATTTCCCATGTGTGAGAGACACGTAATGGAGATATGAAATGGGCAGTTGGATAAACAAAACAGGATTTCAGAGGAGTGGTCCAAGGTGAAGATCTACTTTAGGGGGCATTCATAGAGATGGTTTGTGAAGGTCAGAAAATGGATCTCTGGAGTGAGAAAAGCAGAAAGAGAAAAGAAGAGAGGCAAGACTGCACCCTGAGGAATTCCAGTTTTTGGATAAGTCAAAGAGAACTGGCCCCTGAAGCAGGAAGGGAGCAAGACAGCGTGGTAAGAGGAGTCCAAGAGAGGAAAGTCTTCAAGAAGGGCACAGTGGTTAACAGAGAGCAAGTCGGACCAACCCGGAAGACTTCCTACCAGACTTAGCAACAGGGAGGTCCCTGGAGACTCAGCACTTTCACAATCAAATGTGAAATACTTCTGTTTCATGATGTAATGCCATGTAAGTGAATGGGACTGGCTCAAGATTATATAATTAGTGACAATCAGCTTTGAATATAAGTTGAGATAACTTATTAGGTAGCTCCCTGGCAATAATCAGGGTTAGGGCTTTTGCCCTTCTAGTTTAGGACTGGCAGCTAATTATTATTTTGTGATCTAAATTGCTGATATGGCCACAATCTGGGGTCAAGAATTGGGCTTGCAAGTTGTAGGTTCATCTTCAGGTTTTCTGCCCTTTGCCCAATATGCCATCCTATTTAAAAAGGCAGATGGCAAGCATCTCACCAGTCCACGGCCCCATGAAGAGTGGTCTTCAATATATTTTGACAAAGATGGAGAGATTTGCTGACATATGTGGGGTGAAGGAGGCTAGAGATAAGAAACTAACATGTGTGTTAGGCATATCCTGACTTTTTAGTAAAAAGAAAATTGAAGTTTATTAAGTAAAGAAACTGGATTTAAATTCACGTTTGTTGGACTCCACATCCCTTCCTGTTATATCAGTGTTTCTTCAACTGTGTTACATAGTCTTACAGATGTCACCTGAAAAAAATGACAGTGTTCAAAAAATTGGGTAAATGCTAGGTTAATTAAAATGCAGAACTTCTTGGTGCCTTTAATATGTCGTTGGACATTTTGAATCTCCAAAAGTAGTATGTTGTATGCAATGTATCTAAATGTATTTGACCATGTATCTTTTCTGCTTCCCGCTCAGGCATGTCTCTCAGGAACTAGTACTCTACAGAGCATTCTCTGAGAAACCCTGCAGTAGCACTATATTGACTTGTGTGATTCTACAGAAGAAAGAACTAAAAGCCAGATAGTTAAATCAACTTGAGTAGAATAGCACAGCAAGGTACATGCACAAAGACTCCCAAATCCCAGTGCTCTACAGTAAATGTCTTATTGCTTGAGTTGATTTTTAGTAGCTGGGAGATGCTTTTAAACTATTTGCCAAGATTTACTAGGCCACAGATTTATTAATGGTTCCTTAAGTAATTGAAACATTGGTACAATTCTTTTGGAAAGCTATTGGGCCATATGTGTCATAAGCTTTAAAATCACTTCTATCCTTCCACTCAGCCATCCCATTCTGCAGGATATATCTTCAATAAATAACTTAGGACACAGAAAAACTGGGTGCTCGATAATCTAATTGTTTGATGTTAGAGGAGTGGAACCATCATAAATAGTTTACATTTCTGCTGCAATATCAAGTGGAAATGCAGGGTATAAAATGCAATACTCTGTATGACCTCAACTATGTTATGAAAATAAAGAGTGAAAGGAAATATGAAAAAAATATTAATATTGG